ATAGACACCAACGCAGACAGGCAAGTCGAAGGACCAGAGAGGCCACCCAGTCTCCCCCAAGCTTCACCCCCAGGAAGAGCCTGTACCTGGGCCAACACACGGGCCTCCCTACCTGGCCGACTCGCCCGCAGCCTGCATTTCGCTAAGCAGAGTTCTCGGGAGCGGGCCCACACCGCCAGCTGCCGAGAGCCCTCCAGCTAGAGGGACTGTCCTTCTTTAACCTTGACAGACATCCAGGTCGTTTCCCATGGCTGGCCGTCACAGCCGTCCGGCTGGGAAGAGCGGCCATGTCACACTGGCACAGTGTCCATGGAGGGCGGGTCCCTGGAGGCACCGGTGGACAGGGAGGCGTGTGCGTTTCTGGCCTCGATGGAACCTCCAGGTTGGCCTCTGTGCCAGGCTGCGGCCCCACGAGGCCGTGTGCCAGCCTGCCCCCCCACGAGGCCGTGTGCCAGCCTGCCCCGTCTTCTGCGGGCGGCCAGCCGCGGGAGTCGCACGCTCACAAAGCGAGAGGGACAGACCATCTTACTGAGCCTTCCTTCAGCTCCCTGGTATCACAGGACGGCCTCCGCCGTGTCCCAGCGTCACCCGCGACCCTTCCCTCCGGCCGTCCACGTCCTCTGCCCGTTTTTCTACTGGCTCATCTTTCTCTGATTGATTTGTGGGGACATTTTTTACATCAGGAAAATCAGCTCTTTGCCGTGAGAAGGGTTGCAAACCCCTTTCCCGGTTTCTCACCTGTCGCCTCTGCGTCTGTGGGCTCCCTCCCTCCGCGCGCGGAGTTCTGCGTGTGCCCTGGAAGGCATCCATCTGTCCCCTGGCCTCGCGTCGCCCGCGGGACCGGGAAAGTACTTGGCAGGTGCCTCCCTTCACCAGCATCGTGTGGTTTTAAACTCCTGTGACGATTTTTTCTCCCCTCGTTCTTTTTGAATTTCATTTTCATGTTTAAAACATCGATTCTTCTAGCATTTATTTCGAGGAACGGCGTGAGGGGGAGATTCAACTTTATTTTTTATTCCCAAATGGTTTTTCTTGAGGTTCCAAAACCATTTGTTGAATAATTGATCTCTTCCTCACGGATTTGAAATTCCGCTTTCTTCCTATATTAGAAGCCCCGGTATGTATCTGGGCTTATTTCTGGACTCCCAGACTCCTCGTCGGTCTCTTCTTAAAGACTGCAGTTCTGGGGCTGGGGTTGTGGCTCAGAGGCAGAGCACTCGCCTTGCACGTGCACTGAGGATGGACCCCAGCACCACGTAAAAATAAATAAATAAAATAAAGGTATTGTCTCCAAATACAACTAAGACAAAAATCTTCTTTTAAAAAAAGACTACAGCTTTAATCCTTGCAGCTTTATAATACAGTCCAGCTTCTGTACTAGTCTAGTCTGCCCCCCTGGCCACGCCTTTTCTGATATTTCTTGACTATACTTGTGTGGTGTTTGTTCTTCCCGTGAACATTAGAACCACTTTGTATAGTGTTAAAAAAAAAGTGAGTGTGTGTATGCATACACATTTGAAATCAGTAAGAATTTAAGAGGCTGACATCCTTACACAGTGGCTTCTTTCTACCCACAATTCTCCTCTATACACAGTTATTCTCCTCCCACTGAGAGGGTGAAAGTGACTAACAGTGCTGTTATGTACAGTTGCAAAGGTGGCATACTGCACTATCCTAAGATAAAGAGAGGAGTTTACGGTTCCTGCTAATAGAGTGTGAGGTCTTCTCACCAGGGTAATCTGACCATCCGCATATATGAGCAATGGTGACAATGGCTACCCCTTCTTCAGTATGTGCCAGGCTCTGTTCTAAGGACTTTGTGCTTATTAATTAATTAATTTCACAAAAAAAAAAAACTATCCTCAATTTGCAACTAAGGAAACTGAGGTGTAGTGGTTCAGTGACTTTCTCAAAGTCAATGATTTGCAACTTCCTGTGCACTCATAGCACAGAAATCTGCTCCTGTGGAGACACACACACACACACACACACACACACACACACTCTGCTGCCCCACAGCGTCCCCTCTCCCCCCCCCCCACGTCTGTCCTTCCTCCCACAGCGCACAGCCAGGTCCCTGGGGTCCGCTGCTTTAGGATAGGCGCAGGCCCATGGAGGACACTGGCTGGTGGGACTCCCTGCACCCTGGGTGAGGCTCCCCCAGGATCCCCTTACCCAGGGAGCATGTCGGGGGTGGGGAGGGGCCTGGTCACTGGGTGCCGCTGTGTTGGGAGGACAAGGAGGGAGGAGGGACGGGGAGCAGGCCTGCTGCCCAGCAGGACTCAGGCAGGGTCTCCCCTCCC